GCCAATTACAATATTGCCTTTTTCTGCCTCTAACCCTTTCTTCTCTTATAACCCTTTCTTCTCTTGGGACTCTCAGGCCGTGACCGGGCTTATAGAATCTGTTCTGGTTATTCATCAGCCCACTTGGGATGATTGCCAGCAGCTCTTACAGGTGCTCCTAACCACAGAGGAAAAAGAATATCCCAGGAGCTGACAGCAGGCCAATCCAATCACCGGACAAGATAGAGGATGGGACTTCAATATTCCAGCTGGTAGGGAGCAGCTCCATCTTTATTGCCAGAGTCCAGTTGGCGGGTCTAAAAAAAAAGGAGGGGGGGTTGCAAAGCACCCCACTAATTTGCTAATTTGGCTAAGGTAAGAGCAATAGTACAAAGGTCGGATAGTACTCCTACAGGATTTTTAGAAAGACTATTGGAGGGGTACAGGATGTAAACCCCTTTTGATCCCATGGCAGCAGATCGCCAAGCCAATGTAGTGATGTCTTTTATAGGCCAGTCAGCATCAGACAGCAAGTTGCAGAGAATGGAGAGACTGCAGAGATGCTCCCTCCAGGACTTAGTAAAGGAAAAAATTAGACAGACAGGGATGCAACAGAAGATGACAGCTGCAGAGACTGCACACCTCAGACGGAGCAGCCCCTGAGTGGCCGAATGTGGACTTCAGTGAGGAGTGGCCCTACAGGACTTTGGGCTCGAGACACTTCCCAAAGCAGCTGCTGAGCAGAAGCAGGCCGAGCACAGCCGGCTACTGAAGCGATGCTCTGCCCACCTGAGAGGCCTACGCAGCAACCACAGTGACAGTACTGAAATCACACCCCCCCCCCTTACTTATGCTGTGCACCCAGGTGTCCGATTCTGGGGTGTACGGGGGGGGGGGAGGAGTTCCCCCTCGCTTTGTCTAAAGCATTTGACTATGGACACAAGGATGGCTGATTATTACTAAGTGTCCCACGCTTTTATTAGAAAAAGACCTGTTGGAGACTTTGACTTCCCCTACTGTTCTCCAGGGCTGTAAAGAATAGCAGGCTGCTCTCTGCCTCTGCCATGCCCACCTCCCTGAGGGAGGCTCTGCAGCCACTGCCGGCTGAATCCTCCCAGCTGCCTTGGTCACAGCCCAAGCCTGGGGACTCTGCTTACCGCCACCTGCCCCGGCAGGCAGCAACTGACAGAAACGAGGAGGGGCTGGGAGAGCCCAATTCCAAACAGCCTTCCCGAGCTGCTTGCAAGTTTCAGAGAACAACTGACCCCAGCTCCCAGACCGCAACTGTGGGAAGCTTGGGGTACTGCAATGCCCAAGCAGAGCCGGTTTTGGTGAAGCGTGCTGGTAAGATTTGCTGAAGAAGACAGGGCAGCAATGGTGAATGACCTGAGCAGCCTACTTAAAGGGACATCGGCCGAAAGGCAGAGAAGCTTTTTCTTACCAGTACTAAGAAGATCAAAGAAGAAATTTTCTCGAGGTTTGGCCTGCTCAAGGTAATCGAGGTTGATGGTAAAACTGCCTTGTTACTCAGAAAAGTCAGGGCATAGGTAAGACTGGGGAAAATTACATTGTGCATACAGACCCCAGAGTTTAGGACAGGTAAAAAGAATAAATAAAGACCCTTACCAAATTAGCCTTTGGAATCTGGCACTAGAGACTGGGTACAGCTCCTTCCCATAGCCCTGTTCTGTGTACGAAACACCCCGTCTCAGCTTGGACTAACCCCCTATGAGATCCAATATGGGGGACCCCCCTCTTAGTTTCCTAAGGCCCCTCATGACCCATTTGCTCACAAACCCCATCTGCAGGCGCGGTTGAAGGCTCTCCAGATCTCCGAGCCCAGGCATAGAGACCCCGAGCCACCCTGACACCTGGAAATCTCGCATTCATTCCAGAATTGACACCTGGGGTATATCCGGAGGGACATGAGAAAAGCTGCAGCACCCCACAGCCAGAACAGCAGCTGCCCGCTCATACCTGCAATCCATGCCTCCTCAAGCCCTTGCTTTGATACCCCTGCCCTCACCCCTGATTTCTGTCAACTAGTGGCAGAGCTAGCCTCCTGGGATATCCGAGCTACATATCCCCGACAGCTGCCCCTGGAGGCTGGCAAAAGATTTTCCCCTGGAGGAAATATTTGGACACGGGGGTTCAGACATCTCCCCCACTTGTCTCCCAGGGGCTTCTCGCGGGACTGTCTCCATGGGTGTCGGGAAGGACTTGGGACATAAAATGGTATTTATCTGACCAGAGCCTACTGCTGCAGGCCAGACTAGACCCTCCCTAAAGGGGCCCTAGCTATCCCTGCTGCTGCCCCCTGGACTAAGCTACTCTCCCTGCTTCTCTGCTGGCACCTCCCAACACCAGCCCGGGCACCCGGAAATCTCACACCCGTTCCAGGTTGGCGATTCTGTGTACATGCGGAGACACCAGTCCCAGAACCTTGGACCTCACTGGAAGGGACCCTACACCTACTGCCCTCAAAGTGGACGGTATTGCAGCCTGGATGCATGCGTCTCACGTCAGGCCTGCACTTTCACAGGACGACCCAGGACCATCCAAATGAAAGCTTCAGTGTACCCAAAGTCCTCTCAAGGAGGCCTGATTCTGCCAGGCTTGCTGATCTTTGCCCTGATGTTTATACCTCAGGACTTAACCTGGACCCTGACTAACTTTGAGACTGGGCAAGCCTTAAGGCCAGCCACTGGAGTTCATCCCCTGAATACCTGGTTCCCCCAGCTAACTTTTGACCTATGTTTAGCAAATTACTCTTGGGAGGATACTGAGCAAACCCCCAGAAACTTTCATCCTGTATACAAATATTCTGAATGATATATTTGTCTGGGGGGGAAAGCAAACTCTGCAGTATGGGGGGGGGGCTTAAAGTATTTTATTGTGCTGCCTGAAAATGTAAAAAGTCATAATCACTTTCACTGAGGAAAAAAAAAGAGCTAACCGGTTAACAGGCAATATTTGGGGTTTATGGTTGTATGATCAAAAAAAAAAAAGACATAGGGATTCTGTTCACCCTGTGAGTTGTTGTAACACCTCCAATCACCATAGTACTAGGGCCCAACCCAATGTTACCTGACCAGGGCCAGCTAGCCCCTGCTGAGATAGCCCCCCTTTCCAGGGCCCCGGGCTCCACTCCTAGTCCTAAAAACCCTTCTACAACTCCTGCTTCACTGCTGGCAAGCTCTAATACAGGCCAGCGACTGTTTAATCTGTTAATGGGAGTCTTTTCCTTGCTAAATAGTACTGACCCCAGCTTGACACAATCTTGTTGGCTATGCTTGACAGCAGGACCTCCCTATTATGAGGAAATAGCCTCATCTAACAGTTTCAAAGTCCCAGGACAACAGGACCTGGTGCCTTCTATTGATCTATGGTGGGCCTACAACACTGGTTTGTTAATCTCTGTGTACAGACCCAATTGGTCCTCCAAATTTACTAATATCTCAAGATTGAGATATTTGACCAAATAAGAGGAGGGAATGTAAGACTTTAAGACAATCCTAAAGTCATTTCTGACAATTCTGAATCCTCTCAGCCTCTGTGCCATAGTGCTTCCCCTCCTCCCCTGGGAACCAAGGACCTAACAGCTACACTCGCACGTACTCAGTTCCTGAACAATTACCCATATACGTATGCTTTGGTTCGGTCCCCTGGGAAACGGGGTCAAAATGACCTCTTACCTCATCTGATCTGGCAACAGCTCTCCAGTCAATTATTGGTAACAGCCCTTTCGAATAAGCCAATCAAAATAGTTAAAAAAAACAACCCCCTTGCTTCTGTGGCCCCTTTAAAAATAGACTGTACCCGCTATTTGAGGTCCCTCGGCTTCCCAAATGCTGGGGGACCCTGTCATGACAGAATTAATAAAATCCTCATGCTTTTGCATCGGCTGTGGTGTGTGAGATGGTCTCTGGGGGTGACTCCTTCTCGGTGTTTGGACGCTAGAGTCCAACACCACTAAACTGATAACCTGAGTTTAATACCTGGAGCCTACATGTATGTGTATGTCAATGGTTCATACCTCCATCATCTCCCAACAAAAATATATGTACAAAAAAGATTGTATTTTGTACATATAGCATATTTTGTCCATCCTTGTTGTTGGACACTTAGATTGGTTCTAAAACACAGCTTCTATGAATGATGCTTCAATAAGCACTGATGGACAAGTATCATGAGGAATTGTTTTTAATTAATAATTTTTGTTCTTTGATGCATACCACATGAAGACCTGGTGCCTGTGGAGACCAGCCTAGGCTATATTGTGAGAGCATGTCTCATAACCCCCAAGACAAAAGTATATAATAAAATATTAAAATTATATGTATTTAATAATATAAAAAGCTGGGGACATGGCTCAGTGGTACAGCATTCGCCCATCTACCACACACACACACACACACACACACACACACACAGAGGAAAATGTAAAGAAATCCAATCTATAGTTTATTAAGTTATCCAAATAAGAGGAATCCACATGTTGGACTCAATGTTTGGAAGAAACGGATCATCTCATGAACTGGTAGATTTATCAATAGAACTGTGATTTAGAGATTTGGACAGTCTTGTATTATATTTGTTAAACTGCAAGTAGTGGCGGGCACTCCTACAATTCCAAGACTTGCAAGGTAGAGGCAAGGTGTTCAAGGTCATCCTCAGTTACAAGTCAGGTTGGAGAACAGCCTGTGCAGCACGTCTCAACATCACCAAATAAAAACCATTGATTACCATTTTTCAGCATTGTCCGCCCCCTCCCCCCATGCCCACTCCACTCTGGTCCTTTCACCAGCCACATCGATCCCTGAGCTCGGTCCCATGTGAATCCCCTGCCCACAGGCTGAAAGCAAAACAGGAAATAGCATCGCGTTTGCCTGCTTTTTTTCTGTCAGTCGCCACGAGTGACTCAGAGTCTATGGTTCCGGACTGTGAGGTCCGCACGGGTAGTAAGGAATTCCGTTGACAAGGACGTAAGTGACAGGCCGGGTCTGCAGGAGCCTGCGCGCGGTGCGACAGCGGGGAGCGGGGAGCGTCGTAAAACTGCCGTGACGTCGTGTCTTTGCCGCACGACAGCTATTGTTTTGTTCACGTTACAGCCTCCAAACCTTTATAATTTTCGTTCTTCTTTGTAAACCACAAGAAAAAGATATTTCCGCCGTTGGATACGTTAAAGAGCGTCCCCGAGTGTCCTCCTGCCTCTTGGACCTGGCAGCTGCCGCGTACACGGGTGAGCGCTGGGAGAGATTAGGCTCTCGAGTGGGGGATGTGGCTGTCTCTGCTGAGCCCCGGATTCCACGCCAGCTTTGGGGGGAAAAAAATCTATAAATATATATTGCCTGTAGGTATTTTTATTTATAGTTATTATATGTACATATATGTGCTTAAGTGGTTCAAGAGGACCTTTCTGTTTTTAAACAAATGAACATTTTTGTTAATTTTTACTACACTTTAAATCGAACCCAATACATGCAAAATACTAAGAAATATAGACAATAAAAAGTAAGTAATGAGCCGCGCAGTAGTGGCGCACGCCTTTAATCCCAGCACTCGGGAGGCAGAGGCAGGCGGATCTCTGTGAGTTCGAGGCCAGCCTGGTCTACAAGAGCTAGTTCCAGGACAGGAACCAAAAGCTACCGAGAAACCCTGTCTCGAAAAAAAATCAAAAAAAAAAAAAGTAAGTAATGAGGGGGCTGGAGAGATGGTTGTTGTGTAAGAGAGCTCGCTGCTCTTCCAGACGGCAGTTTCCAACACTGGCAAGAAGACTCACAACCTCCTGAATCTGTCCTCGGGATCCCACACCCTCTTTCTAGCCCCTGAAGGTACCTGCATATATGTGGTTTACACACACACACGAATACATTTTTAAATATTAATTAATGGTACCCCCTTGTTTTGTTTAATTTTGTTTTTTTGAGACAGGGTTTCTCTATGTAGCCTTGGATGTCCTGGAACTCACTTTGTAAACTCCTCAAACTCCCAGAGATCCATCTGCCTTTACCTCCCAAGTGCTGGGGTTAAAAGTGTGTGCCACCACCGCCTAGCTGATAACACTATTTTTTTTAATAAATTTTAAGATTCATAACTGAATTTCATACACGAATACTAGCCATACTTCAGGTCTCAGTGATTTATGTATTTGGTTGGTTTTTTGTTTTGTTTTGTTGGTGGTGGTGGTTTAATTTTTGTTGTTTGCTGTTGTTTTGTTGGTAGTGTTTTGTTTTTGTTTTTCAAGACAGTGTTTCTCTGTGTAGCCCTGGCTTTCCTGGAACTTGCTCTGTAGTCCAGGCTGGCATCAAATCTGGAGATCACCTGCCTTTCCTCTCAAGTGCTGTGATTAAAGGCACACGCCACCACCACCCAGCTAGTTATCCTATTTTCATTTTTCAGTTGTGTGTGTGAGGGTCACAGGACAACTTGCAGGAGCTGAGTCTCTCCTACCATGTAGATCCAGTGTATCAAGCTCAGCCCATCAGGCTTGGCTTTATCAGCTGAGCTGGCCCATCTCTTTGGCACTATTTAGTGTTTGTTTCGTTTTTACTCTTTTCCATTTTTTAGTCTTTTTGAGACAACATCTCACTATATAGCATTGGCTGTCCTGGAACTTGCTATGTGGATGAGACTGGCCTTGAACTCACAGAGACCTGCCTACCTCTGCCTTCTGAGTGCTTGGATTAAAGGCTTGCACCACCGCATATGGCCCTATTTATTCTTTTACAATTTCATACGTAATATATATCTAAGGAGTGCCCTTTTTCTTTTTAGGGTGCTGAGAATTAATTGATCCTGGGGTTTCACACTTGGCAGACAAGTGTTCTACCACTGTCTTTGTTTCTTAATTTTAAGAAAGGATTTCTGTTTGTTTGTTTGTTTGTTTGGTTTGTTTTGTTTTTTGACACAGGGTTTCTCTGTAACAGCCCTAGCTGTCCTGAAACTAGCTCTTGTAGACCAGGCTGGCCTCAAACTCAGGCCTCTGCCTCTCAAGTGCTGGGATTAAAACCGTATGTCATCACTGCCCAGCTCTTGAGAAAGAAGAAGCGGAGGAAGAATCTATTTTTCAGCATGTAACTGACAGGAAGATTAAGTGTTCCAGTAATGTAATAAGAGGATCAACAGTGGTTGACACTGGAAAGCTCACCACACAAATTGCTTATGGTAATTCCCAGGATTGGCCAGTGTTTTATATTTGTAAACAGATACAATCACTTTAGGTGGATTTGTTGTTCCTCTTACCACCCAAATCATGGTTCTCATTCCCTGAAAAAGACACCTAGTGCAAGCATTCCTGTAGGACCCCTTCAGTATGCCCACACATCTGGAAATGGGGTCACTCCATAGGTAACTGCCCAAACCTCCTTCCTACAGGGGAGTCTTTGAAGAGGCCAGGGTCTGAGTGACATTTTTATTTACCTAAAAGTCTTCCTAATAAGGTAGCTGACATAGTGCAGCATTTGGTGGGGGGGGGGGGGGGGAGAATATGTGTGTTACTGAGGATTGAACCTAGGGTTTCACATTCTGGGCATGTTTGTCCTTTAAAAAGTTTTTTACATTATTTATTGTGGTTATCACGTTATTTTTACATTTATTTACTTGTGTGAAATTGAGTAGATGTGGAGGTCACAGAACAGCCTAGTAACATGCTTGTGCAAGTGTGAAGACCTGAATTCAGATTCCTGACACCCACATAAAAACACTGGGCATGGTAGCACACGCATGGAATCCCAGCACTAAGGAGGTGGAAAATGGGAATCTCTGGTGCTTGATTGCCAGCTAGTGTAGCCAGTCAGCTCCAGGTTATATGAGAAACCCAGTCTCAAAAAAAAAAAAAAAAAAAGAAAAGAAAAAAAATTAAGTGGACAGCCAGGTGGTAGTACACGTCTTTAATCCCAGCACTTGGGAGACAGAGGCAGGTGTTATCTCTGAGTTCGACCGGGTGTACAGAGTGAGTTCCAGGACAGCCAAGGCTACAGAGAGAAACTCTGTCTGGGGCAGGGGAAGTGGGTATTGGGCATGGTGGTACACGCCTTTAATTCTAGCACTTGGGAGGCAAAGGCAGGTGGACCTCTGTGAGTTTGAGGACAGCAAGGTATACGGAGAGAAACTCTGTCTGGAGTGATGGGAATGGGTATTGCGCATGGTAGTACACACCTTTAATTCTAGCACTTGGGAGGCAGAGGCAGGTGAATCTCTGAGTTTGACGACAGCCAGGTATACAGAATGAGTTCCAGGACAGCCAAGGCTACTGAGAGAAAGTCTGTCTAGGGCAGGGGGAGTGGGTATTGGGCATGGTGGTACACATCTTTAATTCTAGCGCTTGGAAGCAAAGGCAGGTGGACCTCTGTGAGTTTGAGGCCAGCCTGGTCAACAGATTTCCAGGGTAGTACAGGACCTGTCTCAAAAAATTAAATAAAAAAGATGGAGAAGCTCCTGAGAAATACCCAGCATCGACTACACATACACATGCTTCTGCCTGGTTAGATCAAGCCCACTAAGATATTTTTCCCATTGATAATTCACCTTAGGGTGCTAGAGAGATAGCTCCATTAGAGTGAGATAGAACATTAGATGTGTAACTCTGAGGGCCAGAGTTCAGATCCCAGCATATAAGTAATCAGGGTATTGTGCAGACAGCCTAACTCCAGCTCTGGGAGTAGTCTTTGTCTTTCTCACGCTTACACGTGTACACATACACACAAACATTAAAGACATAGACTGGGCTGGTGAGATGACTCATTCGGTAAACATACTTGCTGTGTAGATATGACAGCCTGCGTTCAGTTCCTGGATGCCATGGTAGAAGGAGAGAATGGATTCCTGAAAGTTTTCCTCTGACCTCCACACAAGTGCCAGGGGAAGCACATGCCCATCTTCTCAACACACACATTCCACTTTGCTCAGGTCTCCATTTCAGGCTTTCATGACATTTGCAAAGACTCTGAGGATTTGTCATATCCTGTTATCTAGAAACAGCAGAGATTGTGTGAGCCGTCCAGAGAAGGTGATCATGAGAGAGGGATTAGGAAGGTGGAGAAATGCAGTGGAGATCGTGAAGTCAGATGTCCGTGGTAAAGCATTCACAGCGCACCAGCTGATTAGTGGGCTACTCTAGACCTCAGCTGGCTCTACAGTCATCTAAGCGTGCTCAACTCTAACACGCCCCTTTGCTGGGTAGTGTGCAGAGAGGTGGCGCACCACTGGAAACACACTTCTTTGAATTTGTGGCATTTTCTTTATTTGTTCAGAAGACACCCAAAGGGGATGCTTTGCTCCATCTGGGACTCGCAGCTTGAGGGTGGCTTCCCCAGGCAATGTCTGCTGCATATTTTGAGCATGCGATTTGCTGATATTCTGCTATATATCTGATGTTTCCTTCTATCTGCTCTATGTAATTCTATGTTTGCTTTTGTTTGTTATGTACTTAATAAACTCATTCCAAAGCAAGAATAGAGCTTTTGTAGATCACACTGGCTGGACAGAACAGCATGCTGCGAGTGAGAACTTCATCTCTCTGAGCTGATGCTTCTGTACATGTAAAGTGAGACCATTAGTCTTCCTGGTGGGCTACATGGCTTACAGATTCTTTTCCTGGCATCAGATGAGTTAGAGCTGCTCTGCTATCTGGCAGTAATGTGTTTATCCAGTCATGATGTGGGAGAGTCTTCTGTTTTGTGTTGGTTTCATTGGTTAATAAAGAAACTGCCTTGGCCCTTTAATAGGACAAAAAATTAGGTAGGCGGAGTAGACAGAACAGAATGCTGGGAGAAAGAAGCCAAGTCAGGCAGTCGCCATGATTCTCCCACTCCAGACAGACGCAGGTTAATATCTTCCTGGTAAGCCACCTTATGGTGTTACACAGATTATTAAAAATGGGTTAATCGAGATGTGAGAATTAGCCAATAAGAGGCTGAAACTAATGGGCCAGACAGTATTTAAAAGAATACAGTTTCCATGTAATTATTTCAGATGTAAAGCTAGCTGGGGACTTGATTGGGGGAGGGAAATGGGAGGCGGTGGCGGGGAAGAGACAGAAATCTTTAATAAATAAATAAATTTTTAAAAAAAAGCTAGCTGGGTGACGGGATGCAGCCCACCGCTCCTCCTACAACAGAGTGGAGCTCCAACGTGTTAAACTGGATCCATATAAAACCTGAGAGAACTTAACGCATCTTTTTGCTGTTTGTGGGTGGCGTGCAGCAGAGAAAATTTCCTCACACTGCAGCCTTAAAAAAAAAAAAAAAAAAAAAAAAAAGCCGCACAGGGTTTTAAAACGCAGCAGCTTCCTGGGCCCTGCCGCTGGTGCAAACTCCGGCTGTGGTGCATTTGTGGGCCTGGGTGTTTGTGTTCCCCCTCGGGATCGGGAATAAAGTACTCTGAGACCGTGCCCCCCCCCCCCCCCCCCCCCCCCCCCCCCCCCCCCCCCCCGCAGACTTTGGGATCAGGCTTAAGCTGGCCGGAGAGCAAATTGGAGAGAGGTGGAGCCAACATCCAGAGCAGCCCGCTGCTCTGCAGCTCAGAGGCAGGACTGATTCAGTCACAAGCCTCCAGCTCCGCTCGCCGTGCTGAACTGTGCTGACCTCAGGCAGGATAATTACCATAACAACAGCGCAGTTGAGGTTTAGACTGGCAGTAAACAGGCAGTACCATATTACCCCTACATGGTGCGATTTAAGTTTTTAAAAAATTCTTAACATTTTAAGAAATGCTCCTGGATAGTGAAAAAATTACAGAGTCACAATAGGACAGATTCAGACATAAAAGACCTCTATGGGTCACAATGTTGGATGAGTGTACGTAGGCTTGGGAGAGAGAAGAAAAATATAGAAAATAAAATTAATGTTTAAAAAAGGGTAAAGTCTTTAAAGAGACAGAGTACAGATAGTTATAGATTAAAAAAATAAAGAAAAATAAGCCACGTAAAAATGGAAAATTCACAGAGAGTCTGGATTATGTACATTGTGTTTTCTTTAGAATTTTTGACGTGAAGGAGCTAAGTACAGAGAGACGTTTCATTACATGGGCTGCCAAGCTAAACCAGAACGGATATAAGGGTATTATGATTTCAGAATTTGGGTCTAAGGATATGATGCTTTGGAAAGGAGTTTCTAATTTTGTTTTCACAGAGGATGAGACTCTGTGGATTGCTTCTATCCCAATATGGTATGATAGACCGCGCCCTCCTGAAAGGTTGCTGTAAACACCCTCAAAAAATTACTTCATTCAACTGCCGACTGAGATGAACCTCGCACACAGGTTGCACCATAAAAGACCTAATTAACAGCGCCCCCATACAGCAGAAAGCAGTTTGGAGAGAAAAAACTGCGGCCATGTTCCAAAATATTGTTTATAAATGTTCTTTTCCATTTAAAGGGGGATATGATATAGATGTGAATAATTTGCATTCATATGGATTTTAAGGTCAATTTTGTTATATGTATATACATATTTCTAATCTTGATTAAGGTATTGTGATTGTGTAGTTCATTTAAAAATGTAATGTATATAGGTTGTTAATGGATAGTCATCTATAATAGTCAAGTTTTGTAGTCATGCTAGACTTTCTAGATGTACATAGATATATTTCAGATAGGCATTCTTCATATCTTTCAAAGACTACAGAATATGGCATTTAATGTTTTAATAACTTAGGACTTTTCATGACAATGAGACACTCTGCTCCTGGCAGCGCCAATTTACTTCAAGAGGAAGATGGGCATCAAAGAGGATCTTATGGGGTTGGTTAGCCATTTGGGCAAGAAATTGCTCTTGCCTGGACTGATGCATAAATTGGACACAGAGAACCCTCAGAGAGAGGACTGCTGAACTTGCCTAAAGGTGAGATGGTCTTTCAGGGTACTGATTCATGAAAGAGTCTGCAAGACATTCTGCAGAACACAGCAGATAATGACTGACTGTCTTTAAAATTTCCTGCTTCATGAAAAAGTCTGCTGGATACTATGGGCCTGAAGGCCAAAGATGGATGCCCCAACGGTACAGAGGAACTTTGGGTGACTGTACAGACAGCGAGATGTCTCTGTCATTTCTAGAGTTTTGGACTTCTTGTTTGCTTAGGTAATATTATATCCTTCTGGAGTCTTTGATGGAGTTGACGAATGGTTAGTTATAGTTTTCCTTAGGTTTGATAAAAGATATTATAGATATAAATATTGTACTAATTCTTGCTTGATAACTGTTTTGTTATATGTAATCTTACTATGTTAAAGTAAAAGCCTTTCTTTTTTGTTTAAACAAAAAAAGGGGAAATGATGGGGGAGAGTCTTTTGTTTTGGTTAATAAAGAAACTGCCTTGGCCCTTTAATAGGACAAAAAATTAGGTAAGCGGAGTAGACAGAACAGAATGCTGGGAGAAAGAAGCTGAGTCAGGCAGTCGTCATGATTCTCCCACTCCAGACAGATGCAGGTTACCATCTTTCCTGGTAAGCCACCTTGTGGTGTTACACAGATTATTAGAAATGGGTTAATCGAGATGTGAGAATTAGCCATTAAGAGGCTGAAACTAATGGGCCAGGTAGTATTTAAAAGAATACAGTTTCCATGTAATTATTTCGGGTGTAAAGCTAGCTGGGTGGTGGGACGCAGCCCCGCCGCTCCTACTACAACACAGTCAGGCATGGTGGGGCCTGCTTATAATCTCAGCACTTGAGAGTCAAGTGGATCAGGAGGTTAAGGCCAACCTAGGCTATGTAAAACCCTGTCTCAAAAAGATGAAAACAAATAGGGCCAGCAAGACAGCTCAGTGGGTAAAGGCACTTGCAGCCAAACCTGATGACCTGAGTTCAATGCCTGAGACACACATGGCAGGAGGAGAGAACAGAGTCTCCCAAGCTATCTTTTCCATGTGTGTGGTATAACATTTCTACAATTCTATACATACAATAAGTAAATGTGAAAGTATTTTCCTTTTTAAATTATTTTTGATTTATTTGTGTGAATATTTTCTTACATGTATGTTTGTATCTTGTACATCCTGGAACTGGAGTTATGGATGGCTGTCAGCCACCATTTGAACCTGGGTCTTCTGCAGGAACAAGTGCTTGTAACAGTGAGCCATCTCTACAGCCCTAAAAGTATTTTTTGAAATAGTGTATGCATCTAATTTTTCTCAAGTGTATAGGATTTTGTGTATCTGACACTAGGATCAATGAACTGAAGAACGTGGAGAAAGATAGGAATTTTTGGTTCTTACACCTTCTCTTTCTTCCAGGTACTCTTCTTCCTGTTGACCCAGTCTGCCTTGAGGAAAAAAAGGGCAGAGAATATGGTAGTCCACCACCTGAGAGATTTTTATCAGGTATGCAGACTGCCTCACAAAATGCCGAATGTGCTGCACCAGGTCAAGTGTTTCCATCCAGGTAGACGTGACTCTGCAGACTTCACAGAGCCAGCAATCAAGGCTGGAACCCCAGTTGTACTTCCCCTGGGTTAGCCCCACACTTACTGGTGCAGTGTTATCTGAAATTCCACTCAGGATCTTAATAACTTCTGATTAATGTTGATACTCATGGTGACACTGGTTTGTTTGTTATTTTGCCAAGTATTCTGAAGGAATTTTAAGAGGGAAGAGCATACCTTTCTGTCTGCGTGTGTGGGGGAGAGTAAAGCTCTTAGTACAGCACTTGCTTAACACCAGCTCCAGGAGACCCGATGTGCTCCTCTAGGCTCCATGCACACCTGCACACATGTGCACACAAAAGCACACATATGCCTAAGTAAAAGTAAAATTAAAAAAAAGAAATTGAAAATCATCCTCTTAGGTAGAGACAGCGGGATCAAGAGTTCAAGGTCATCATCAGCTACAGAGCAAGTTAGAGACCAGTTTGGGGGATACGTAAGACTTTTTCTAGAAAATGCTGGGGCCGGTGAGATAGCTCAGCAAGTTAAGACATTTGCTGGAAACCCTGAAGACTTAAGTTCCCATGAACCCACATGACAGAAGGAAAGAACTAAAGCCTGCAATTTGTCCTCTGACCTCCAGATATGTGCTATGGTGGGTGGACCCTGCCCCCCTCAATAAAATAAGTTCTTTTTTGTTTGCTTGTCTTAAATTCCGTGTATATTTTGCCTGTATGTATATCTGTACCACGTGCATGTCTGGTACCTACAGAGGTCAGAAGAGGGCATCAGAACCCCTGGAACTGGAGTTAGGAGACTCCAGTTATGATGGTTATGAGCCCCCATGTTGATGCTGGAATGGGGACTCAGGTCGTTTGCAAGACCAACAAGTTCTCTTAGCCACTGATCCATCTCTAACCCCAAGAAATAAGTCCTCCCCCATCTCTGGGTTTGTTGTTGTTTTTCAAGACAGGGTTTCTTTTGTGTAACCTTGGCTGTCCTAGAACTAGCTCTGTTGATCAGGCTGGCCTTGAACTCACAGAAATCCACCTGCTGAAACAAGTTCTCTTTTGTAAAAAAATTCCTGAAACTGGAGATGACTCAGTGGGTAAAGCTCTTGCTGTGCAAGTATGAGGACCAGAGTTCAAATCCCTAGCTCCCATGAACATGCCAGATGGGTGTGGTAGCATTTCATTTCAGTAACTTGTAATTTCTGTCCTCTGGAGGCAGAGCCAGGATCTCTTAAGTGAGCCTGCTAGTTAGACTAGCTGACTAAGTGAGCAGTGGTTTCAATAAAAGACCCTGCCTCAGTATGTTAGTTTGAGAGTCATTGAGGAAGATGCCCAATATTGACTTTTTGCCTCTAATACACATGTACTCACGTATGTGAATACCTATACACACATGGATACACTTTACACACACAAAAAGTATAATTTTTTCTTTTTCTTTTTTTTTTTTCTATGCTTGGAATTGAACCTAGGGCCTTGAATATTCTCAACAAGCAATCTACCACTAAACTGTATCTCCCAACCCAAAGACTGCTCATCAAACCTGTTTACCAAGTGTTAGGGAATAGAGAGACGGGATGTTTGTTTAGTTGTGAGAAGGGTCGCTAAAGCCATACATCCATAGAAAATGGACAGTGACCGTGGACAGGGAGATCTCCCAGACCCCCAGCCCCTGAAGCAGACAATGAAGTCCTTAGGTCTCTAACAAGAGTTGGGTCTTGTGTCTTAATCTATAATGAACATTGGTTACATGTACTCAGGCTGGCATGTATGTGATTTAGGACTCGGTGACCTTTGATGATGTGGCTGTGGACTTCACCCAAGAGGAGTGGGCTATAATGGATCAAACTCAGAGAGACCTCTACAGAGAGGTGATGCTGGAGAACTACCAGAACCTGACCTCAGCAGGTAAGACTGCCAGCGACCCTCCTGGCCTCTTAGGGATCAGCGGTCTCCATCTGAATACACTAGGAATAGAGACACATTGGAGGAAAGGGTTTTTCCAGACAGGGTTACTCTGTGCAGCCTGGCTGTCCTGGAACTTTCTTGTAGACCAGGCTGACTCAGAGAGTAAAGGTGTTTGCCTCCCCTGCCCAGCTCAATTTTAATCATGATATTTTTGTTTATTTTTGGTTTTGGTTCTTTTTAGATTTTTAATTTCATGTGTATGGGTGTTTTCTTTTTATGTATATATGTTCAGAATTCATGAGAGGGTGGTAGATCCCCATAAAGTTGGGTTAAAAATGGTGTGAGCCATTGCTGGGTTCAGTTCTAAGAAACCAGGTCCTCTGGAAGACGAGCCAGTGCTGTTAACTGCTAAGCCAGCTCTCCAGCCTCTCAATAGTGTTTTGAGTTTCAACAGTAAAACTAGTATGAACTTCTATTTTTCTTCCCAATTTTATAGATTGAAGATTTTTCCTGAAAGCTGAGTATAGGGGTTAGGGGTGTGGCTCAGTTGCTAGAATATCTGCCTGGCATGCATGAAGTCCTGGGTTAATCCCTTACCACATAAACTGGATATGATAACATGGATCTGTAATCCCATTACTGGGGTGAAGACAGGAATCTCAGCTATGTAGCCTGGCTAAGCTATATGGATTCGTTTCTTGGGTTTTTTTTGGTTGTTTAGTTTTGTTTGGTTTTATGATTTTTGGTTTGCTTTTGTCTTGTTTTTTTTTTTTTTGTTTTTTGAGACAGTGTTTCTCTGTGTTCTCCCGGAACTCACTTTGTAGACTTGAACTCACATGTGCTGGAATTAAAGGTCTGTGCTACCACCGTCTGGCTGCTACATGAATTTTTATATTTCCCTCCCCCGTTAAAAAAACCAAACAAAAGTCAGGTATGGCGGGTTCCTTCTGTAACCCCAGCGCTCGAGAGGTTAAAGCAGGAATATCACCTAGAGTTTGAGGTCAACCTAGGCTACTTGGGTTCAAGGCCAGTGTGGGCTATATAACAAAACCCCATCTCAGAATAAATAAATAAGTAGAAAAGAAATGAAAGGGGGAGGGGAAATCTTTTTTCAGGTTTATTTTTATTTAAATGTATAAAAATACATTTTAAATGTATTTAAATATATAAAAATATATCATGCATGCATACGGCAAAATGTTGTTTTTCTCTTTTTACTTTTTAGACTCTGGGGTCCTAAATAAATCACACACAGAGGCTTATTATTACCTATAAATGCCTGGTTTTAACTTGGCTTCTTTCTCTCTCTCTCTCTCTCTCTCCCTCCCTCCCTCCCTCCCTCTTTCTTTCTTTCTTTCTTTCTTTCTTTTTTCGGATTTTCGAGACAGTGTTTCTCTGTAGCTTTGGAACCTGTCCTGGAACTAGGTCTGGTCTACTAGACCTGGCCTTGAACTCACAGAGATCTGCTTGCCTCCACCACCCAGGCCACTTTTGCTTCTAACCAGCTTTTCTTTTCTTTTCTTTTTTTTTTTTCTTTTTCCGAGACAGGGTTTCTCTGTGGTTTTGGAGCCTGTCCTGGAACTAGCTCTTATAGACCAGGCTGGTCTCGAACTCACAGAGATCTACCTGCCTCTGCCTCCCGAGTGCTGGGATTAAAGGTGTGCGCCACCACCGCCCGGCTTCTAACCAGCTTTTCTTTACTGAAAGTATCCTGTCTATCTTTTCCTCTAGCTTTTAATTTTCTCTATTTCTGTATAACCTTTCTTTATTACTCTGTTGCTGGTTGTGAAGCTGAGTGGCTGGCCCCTTCTTTTCCTTGATCTCTCTTCTTTTTTTTTTTTTTAAGATTTATTTATTAATTATGTATACAATATTCTGTCTACTTGTATGCCTGCAGGCCAGAAGAGGGCACCAGACCCCACTACAGATGGTTGTGAGCCACCATGTGGTTGCTGGGAATTGAACTCAGGACCTTTGGAAGAGCAGTCAGTGCTCTCAACCTCTGATCTCTCTTCTTTTTTTTTTTTTCTTTTTTTTTTAAATATTTATTTATTTATTTATTATGTATACAATATTCTGTCTGTGTATATGCCTGCAGGCCAGAAGAGGGCACCAGACCTCATTAGAGATGGTTGTGAGCCACCATGTGGTTGCTGGGAATTGAACTCAGGACCTTTGGAAGAGCAGGCAATGCTCTTAACCACTCAGCCATTTCTCCAGCCCCTCTCTTCTTTAATCCCTGCTCTCTCCTTCTATTTCTTTTCTCTGCCTGCCAACCCCGCCTATCCTTGCTCCTGCCTCGTTATTGGCCATTCAGTGTTTTATTAAACCATCAGATGTTTTAGACAGGCAAAAATCACAGCTTCACAGTTAAACAGATGCAACATAAAAGAATGCAACACATCTTTGTATCATTAAAACAAATGTTCCACAGTATAAACAAAAATAACACACCTTAAAATAAAATTCCACAAGACACGTATTGCCCAAGGAGGTCAGAGGAGGAATTAGATGCCCTGGAACAGCTGTGAGCTGCTTCAAGAACAGCAAATGCTCCTAAGTGCTAAGCCATTTCTATAGCACCCCGCTCCATCCCCTTTTCTCCTATAGGTACTCTGACTGGCCTCGAACTCTCAGAGAGCAGCCTGCCTCCCACCCACATGCTGGAAGTAAAGGTGTATACTACCACACTTGGTTCAAAAATCATTGTTACCTTAGATATTAAGACACTGGCTTAGCATGGTGGCACACACCTTTACTCCCCGCACTCGGGAGGCAGAGGCAGAAGCAGAGGCAGACCTGGTCTACAAATTTAGTTCCAGGACAAGCAGGGCTACATAGAGAAACCGTCTTGAAAATCCAACCCCCCCCCCCCCGCCCCGCAGCATGAGATTTTTTTTTCTTTCCTTTCATGAGAGTATGGTCTGCCTCCATACTCCTGATGGCCTCAAGCTTTGTGCGTGATGCACACTGGCCTTGAACTCACCGTCTTCCTGTCTCCTTCCAAAACTGATTACGGGGGTGTGTGCTGTACCTGGCTTGAAAACTTTTCAGTTTTTTATTGAAGTGAAGTATTTTGTTTGGATTGGCCAGATTGGCAGCATCGGTGCTGCACCGTCTGGGGCAGTTACTGAGTAGACAGTGTTGCTGTCGAGGGGCAGGGGATCTGACGAGTGTGGAGCTGATGGGCAAAGGGGTGACTTCACCCCACGATGGGGTGAGGAGGAAGCTGGGAGTTTTCTTCAGCTACTAATAGAATTTTGCAGTTTAAAACTTAGAAATTATTTCTGGAATATATATATATTGCAGTTGATGGTGAATTCCTTAACCTATAGAAACTAATATTGGGGCTATGAGGTGACTTGTATACTGTGTGTGTTTACATGAATGAAGGCATGTGTGCCATAGGGCGTGTGTGCAGGGAAGTAAGAGGGCAAAACTCTGGTGTCAGTCCTCACCCTTCATTTTAGACAGGCTTTGTTGTGTGTTTGCTGCGTACACCAGCCTGTCTGGGCTTATCCTATTTCTGCCTCCTCTCTTCACGAGTACCAGGATTATAGATGCTGTGTTACTGTGTCTGGCTTTTACATGGTTTCTGGGAATTTGAACCCATATCTTCATGCTTCTATAGCAGAGCATTATCCATTGAGCCTTCTCCCCATCCCCTATAAGGTGGTTTTTGTTGCCCCCCAAACGGGGTCTTGTAGAGCTCCTGGCGTTGGAATCTGAACAAGCCACTGACCTGATGAACCTGACCCTGGTCTGTGAGATGCTGCTATAACTTTTTCCCTCCAATAACTCATATTTTTGTTTTGCCCTGTTATTGTTTGACTGAGTGTTAATGTTTTATTAATGTGTATGAACTTTAACTTGGGGTTTTTTTTAGGTTCAGAAAACGGTGATCTAGCCGGGCGGTGGTGGCGCACGCCTTTAATCCCAGCACTTGGGAGGCAGAGGCAGGCGGATCTCTGTGAGTTCGAGACCAGCCTGGTCTACAAGAGCTATTTCCAGGACAGGCACCACCAAAGCTACAGAGAAACCCTGTCTCGAAAAAGCAAAAAAAAAAAAAAAAAAGAAAGAAAGAAAACGGTGATCTACATGCTTAGTCCTTATGAAGCATTTCCCATGCATTCTTTTTTTTTCTTTTTTCTTGGTTTTTCGAGACAGGGTTTCTCTAGCTTTTGGAGCCTGTCCTGAAACTAGCTCTAGCTCTTGTAGATCAGGCTGGCCTCGAACTCACAGAGGTCCTCCCAAGTGCTGGGATTAAAGGCGTGCGCCACCACCGCCCAACCTTTCCCATGCATTCTTTAGAAACAGCTCTGCAGTGCTCTGAGCAGTGAGTGGTACAGACTTTTACTCTTAGCACTTGGAAAACTTAGGAGGGCTGGTTGTCCGGGGCTATGGAATGTGAAATTCTATCTCAACAACAAGAAAAAACAGAAGCTAGAGCTAAAAACACTGGCTGCTCTTCAGTTTCTAGGGGTCTAGTGGCCTCTTTTGGCCTCTAAGGGCACTTTCACATCGGTACACACATGCACACAAATAAATATTAAAATAAATCTTAAAAAACAGGGAGAGGGGCTGGAGAGATGGCTCAGAAGTTAAGAACGATGGCTACTCTTCTAGAGGACCAGCATTCAATTCCCAGTACACACACAATTGTCGGTAACTCCAGTTCCAGGGGATCCAGTGCCCTTTCTGGCCTCTAAGGGCACTACACACTTGTGGTAAACAGACATAGTATGCAAGCAAAACACCATATGCATAAAATAATAATAAAAATAAACAATAGTATATGATAAAGATGATGATGATTGTTGTCTGGAGAGCTGGCTTAGAGGTTAAGAGCACTTGCTGCTCTTGCAGAGAATCTGGGTTCCATCCCTAGCACTCACATAGTGGTTCACAAACATCTGTAATTCCATCATCCCGTGCCCCCTTCTGCATTCCTCTGACACCAAGTACTACATGGTGCACATACATACATACAGGCAAAACACACATAAAATGAATAAATCTAATAAAGAAATTAGAAAGAGAAAAAATGTGGGGGGCTGATAAATGCTTCACGGGCAAGCATGAGCAAGCACGAGGGTCTGCGTTCAGTTCCTCAGTACTATTTATAAAGCCATGTGCAGTAGCTGCACCGGTAGGGGAAATTGGAGGGTCCCTGGGGACTTCCTTGGGCAGTTTAACTAAATTATTGAACTCCAGGTAAAATGTGATTGTGTTTCAAAAAAATTATGGAACCAGGAAGATGTAGTGATTAGTGCCTTTAATCCAGCACTTGGGAGGCAGAGGCCAGGGATCTCTGTGAATTTGAGGCCACCCTGATCTATTTAATAAGTTCTGGGCAAACCAGGGCTACACAGTGAGACTCTGTCTCAAATCTAAAACAGAAAAACTATATGTGCTGGTGTGCGCTTATATTCCCAGTGCTTGGGGATTGACTAGCCAACCTAGTCTTCATCAGTGAACCCCCAGTCTTCGTGAGAGACCTTGTCTTAGAAAACAAATTGCAGGGCTAGGACTCAAGGATATCCTAGAGATGACTCAAGTATAAAGTGCTTGACTGTATCATCACGAGGAGCACAGTTTGCACCCCAAAACCCATGTGGAAAGTAGGCAGGCACAGTAGCTGCCTGTGAGTCCCAGCATTCAGAAGGGAGAAGGAGATCCCCCTGGAAAGTTGACCAGCTAGAGTGGCTGTACTGATGGCCCTGGATGCCTCAGTGTAAAGAAAAGGTGGACAGTGGTCAAGGAAAACACCTGACATCAACTTTGGACTCACATGTGTGCACATGTGCACTCAAACCACACATATACACACAAAGGGAGGGAAAGAGGCTCATAAATTTACCATTACTGTTTTTTTTCTGTTGAATATGAACCACATCCAATAATACATTTTCCTTTTATGTATAGGATATGAGGTCGTCAAACCCAGTCTGATCTCCTGGTTGGAGGAGGAAGATTTACAGGAAATGCAGAGAGGAGGTTTCCAGGGTGAGTAGGCATGGGGAAACAGTTGTGATCAGGAAGTTCCTTAAGTTTGACAATAGGATGAAGGGTTTTTGGGGTTTTGTTTGTTGGTTTGGTTTGGTTTGGTTTTCTTCCCTGTGAGTCAGGGTCTCGCTGTATAGCCCAGGCTGGCCCCTACAATATTCCCACGTTTACCTTCTGGGTTCTGGGGTTGCTGGTGACCACCACACCCAGCATAATGAAACATTAAAGAGTCAACCTGAGCTTGCTTAGGAAGACTCTTACTCCTGAGCAACAGCTCCAGTCTCATATCGGAACTTTCAGAGATACAGCTGACCTCAGACGGTGCCAGCCTTTCTCTCAGAAGCAATTCTGGATTTCTTACACTTGGATCAGACTTTTTCTTGGTCCCACAAAAATGCCTGTTCTGTTTCTTATTTGTGATTTTCTTACTCTGTGTTGAGCTCTTTCCTCATCATCATCCCTGATGGTGCTCTTTTCCTCTCTCAGTTTTCATTTCTAAAGAGCAATTTGTAGTTGGGTGGTGGTGCACACCTCTAATCCCAGCACTCAGAAGGCAAAGGTAGGGAAATGTTTTGGGTTTGAGGCCAACCTGGTCTACAGAACGAGTTCCAGGACAGCCAGGGCTACACAAGAGACTCTGTCTTGAGGGGAAAAGAAGAAGAAAAATTTGTAACTGTCTAAAACTATGACTCATGTTTTTACCCTTGCCAAGTTTTAACCTAATTAAAATTATCAAAATTTAGTTTCTTGGGCTGGAGAGATGGCTCAGAGGTTAAGAGCACTGACTGTTCTTCCAGAGGTCCTGAGTTCAATTCCCAGCAACCACATGGTGGCTCACAACCATCTATAATGAGATCTGGTGTCCTCTTCTGGACAGCAGGCAAAGATGCAGATAGAACACTGTATACATAATAAATAAATAAATAAATATTTAAAAAATTAAAAGTTTTTTTTTTAAAAATTATTTTCTTCTTTTTTGTAGTTTTATTTATTTTGGTGGGATTTCACACTGTAGCCATGGCTGGCCGTAAACTCAAGAGTCCTTCTGCCTCAGCCTACACTCTCACCACACTGGCAAGACTTCTCATGTTCTATTCCTGTGACACACCTCTCATTTCTAATCTGGATTCTGTTTTGTTTTTATGTCTCTTTTAGAACGGGAGATGCATGGCACTTTAAGGAAACAAACTTCTAAGGTGGTACAAATGGTAAGATTAATCAAGGATGTTAATAGTTCCCATACTCTGAAAGACTAGAAATTCCACTGTGGAATTGAGAGGAAATTAGTGGCATTCACTCAGGGTGCTGTAGGTAGGGGAGCAGCATTTTAAACCAGAAACACTCACTGTAACAGTGTGTAACCCATCATGAAACCAAATCCTTCAAGGTTCCCACAAGTGCACATCCTACGTGTATAACTAGACATTGAATTAACTTTTTATTGATTCTTTGTGAATTTCACATCATGTATCTCAATCCTATTAACTTCCTTATCCCTTCATAGCGGCCCTTTGCCCTGGCAAACCCCTCCCCCCACCAAGATAAAATAAAATTTCAACAAAAAAATATTGTGGAAGCTGTAGTATGGCTCAGTGAGTCACACAGTATACCCTTTGGTCCATACATCTTTACTTGCAAGTGCACATTGCAATGAGTCCCTGGTCTGGCTCGAGGCCTCCGGCTTCTGCTACACTATAGATATATAAATGCAGTCCCTCGCTAGGACTGTTCTCGGATACTCTGTTGTTGCCCTGTGTCATGGAGATGTTGCCCTGCAGCTTTGGATCTGTAGAACTAGCCCCTTCACATGCTCCAGCAGTTCATAGATAGGTAGACATTGGGGTAAACCAACTCATAGCCCTAGTTCTGGGCCTGGGTGGTGCTGGGCTGGGCTGGACTGGTCAGCCCTCCAGCGCTCCCTCATCCTCACCACCAGGGCTAGCTTACCCAATGCAGCAGGTAGCAAGGAGTAGGGCTAGTTCTCCTACTCTCACTCCCTTGGGGACCTGCTCACCTGCACCTACACCACCAGGGCCAGCTCTGCTGTGTTGCCCAGGTGAAGTACAGGGCCCACTCAACCTGGGTGCTGCAGTGGGTGACTGGCTGGGCCAGCTCTCCCACCTGCCGCAAGTGGTGAGGGGAACGGAAGGGCATCTTTCTGTCACCCAGGCCACCACATGGCAGACAAGGAGGAGCAGGATCAGCTCTGCTATTCTCACATGATCAGGGCTGGCTCACCCACACCCCTGAAACAGGGTCAGCTCTACTATGCTGCCCAGGCAAGGTGCAGGGCTAGACACTGAATTTTTAAAGCAGTTTATTTATCTGTGTTCTATTTATGTGTCGTGTGTGTGTGTGTGTGTGTGTGTGTGTGTGTGTGCGCACGCGCGCGCACTGGCATACATGTACCAGGGAAGTTTATGCCATAGCTCTCTTGTAGACTTGGTTCTCTCTTTCAACCATGTTGAGACATCATCTCTTTTGTGTCTGCTACTGCATAAACTCCTGTCCAATTCTCCTGTTTCTGCCTTCCATCTCAAAGTGGTAGTGCTGAGATTACAGATGCGTGCTACTGTATCTAGTTTGGGGGATCAGTTGTCCATTGTCAGGCTTGCATGGCAACAACTTTGCCTGCTAAGCCATCTTCCTGGCTCCTTAAAACAATTTTGTAACATGCTTAACATTTTTTAAACATTTAAGCTGATTCTAGCACTATTGTTCTTTCAGTTTGATTACAAATCACATAAGCAACTTTAAGAATGTCATGAAAATGGTAAAAATCATAATCATCCTCTAGTAATACATTAAAAAAAGATGGGGTCTCATGTAGCCCCTATCCTCAGATTTGCTATGCTGCTAAGGGTAGCAGCTCCTGACGCTCCTGTCTCCATCTTCTTGGTGCTGGGTTATAAGTACCCTGCCATGCTAGCTCTGAATGATGTACTTTAATCATTGTTTATTCATACAGAGAAGACGCAACGTTGTTGGGGACCTCCAAAATTAATTTATGGAAATTTCTTGTATGACTATGAAAGAATTGGGATATAATCTGTAGAAAATTAATGCAAATGAGAAACATTTAAGAGGAATAGAATTCTCCTTTGTAAGGGAACTCTCTTTGGTACATACTCTGAATATGGTGAATTTGGGGTACCCAATCTGTGCTTAAAAGGTTTGGCTTCAGAATTTCCACAAATATGCATCCTCATATATGTAACTCTGCTTTAAGAGTCTTAAAAGAATTTTATGAAGACATACATGAGTCATTTCAAAGTTAGAACAGATTATAAGTGGTTCTTTCATTAGGGTCCCTTCATTCAACTTGGGGAAAAAAGCAGCAGAAATTATATACATTTAATAAGAATTTTAAGTATCTAATAATGTTTCTGTCTTCATAGGGATTGAAAACCTTAATTTTGAACAATCCATTAATTATATTTATTTTTTTCATCAACAGGCAGGAAGACATAGTGCTTTGGAACTCTGTGATTATATGCAACATAAAGATATCTTAAGAGAACATTCATATTTTAAAAGACATATGCAAACCGAAAATTCAGAGCACATCTGTGACTCTAATCAGTATGGAATGCATGTTCCCACTCTGCATGAGGAAACATCTATGAGACAGGAATTTTCTGTGTTGAGTGAGAATGCAGGAAACTCTAGTCTGACCCCAAATGTCACTCACCAGGGAACAGGCTTGCAGGACAGAGCTGTTGAATGCAGTACCTCCCTTAGTCAGTCATATTTTAAGGCACATATGAGAATCTATAATGGGGAAAAATTCTGTGAATTGATTCAATTTGCAGATTTTTCATGTCCCACAAGTGGAGCTCTGCCTATTCAAAAGTATACCATAAAAGCCTATGAGTGTAAGACTTGTAGGAAAGTCTTTGGGCATTCTTCCAATCTTAATAGTTACATGCGAACCCACACTGGAGAGAAGCCCTATGAATGTAAGGTTTGTGGCAAAGTCTTTGGGTATTCTTCAAATCTTAATAGTCACATGCGGATCCACACTGGGGAAAAACTTTATGAATATAAAATATGTAAGAAATCCTTTACTACTTCTTCAAGTCTAACTAAACATTTCAGAATTCATACTGGAGAAAAACCATTTAAGTGTAAGGAATGTGGAAAAGCTTTTACCAAGCACATGTACTTTTTTTACTTTCTGCACATGTACAAACACATGCTGAACAGAAAAGCCCTATGTCTGTAAGTTACGTGGGAGATCCTTCACTATTTCTTCAAAGCTAATTGACCACTTAAGAATTCATACTGGAGAGAAACCCTATCAATGTAAGGAATGTGGGAAAGCCTTCCACGCATCTTCCTACTTTCATAAGTATCTAAGAACACATACTGGAAAGAAACCTTATAAATGTGATAAGTGTGGGAAAGCCTTCCACACTTCCTCCTACCTATGGAAACATGTAAGAACTCACAGCGCAGAGAAACCTTATAAATGTAGGGAATGTGGAAAATCCTACAAAAGATGTTATCTATTGAATGAACACTTAAAAACTCATAAACCCTTTGATTGCAAGGTATGTGGAAAGTCTTTTAGAAGTTCTGCTTGCCGTAATAAGCACATTCGCCTTCACACTGGAATCAGACCTTATAAATGTAAGTATTGTGGGAAAGACTTTACTGTTTCTTCAAGTCTCACTGAACATTTAAGAACAAACACTGGAGAGAGACCCTATGAATGTAAAGAGTGTGGGAAAGCATACAAAATCTGGTACCTGCTGACGGAACATGTAAAAACTCACACTGGAGATAAGTCCTTTGAATGTAAAGTTTGTGGGAAATTCTTTGGAAATTCCTCTTGCATTAATAAGCACATTTGAATTCACACTGGGTTAATGTAAATACTGGTAAATGTAAATACTGTGGAAAAGACTTCACTGTTTCCTCTAACCTAGGTGAACATGTAAGGACTCATACAGGTAAGAAGCCCTACAAATGTAAGGAACGTGGAAAAGTCTTCACAACATCCTCAAACCTCTATCACCGTGCACAAATTCACAATAAAGTGGTTTCCTCGAAGTATCAAGAATGTGGGAAAAACTACAATAAGTTTTATTGACTAACTGAACATCTAATAACTAAGTCTGACCAGAAACTCTTTGAATGGGAAGAATGTCAAAAGCCCTTCAAGAATTCTCCACATCAGGCTGGAGAGATGGCTCAGAGGTTAAGAGCACTGGCTGCTCTTCCTAGAGAACCTGAGTTCAATTCCCAGCAACCATGTGGTAGCTCACAACCATCTGTAATAAGATCCAGTGCCCTCTTCTGGAATTCAGACAGAACAGTGTGTATATAACAAATAAATAAATAAATCTTAAAAAAAAAAAGAATTCTCCACATCTTAATCATCATAATAGAATTTCCAATGGTGAGAAGTCTTATTAATGTAAGAAATGTGGGTTAGCCTTCAAAACCAACTTACTTGAAAACATGAAAGCTCTCTTGTTCTCAAGATGCCCATGAATTTAAGAAACATGAGAGCTACTGGAATGTCATCAAAGTGCACTAATGTGTGAGCTCACCCTGGAGCCATGTAACGTCACAATAGTAGAAGCCCTACTTCCTGGGGGCTTGCTAAATGCATAAGCTCTTGCAGTGGAGAAACTTGTATGTAATATGGAAAAGTCATTCTAAATTTTTACATTCATTGTGATCTCAGAGTGGAGGTGATGAAGGTAAGAAAGTTGCAGTCATTGTCTTCTACATACTATTCTTCAGCCTTTAATAAACATGGCAGTTTATAACCAAGAGAAAATGAGTGCAGAGTATATGAGAATTATGGTCACATCTTGAATTATGCTGACAGAGATAGGACCTTCAGATTTTTTTTGCTGTTTGAAGCAGCCCAAACTAGACTCAAACTCAGAGGATGGCCTTGAACTCCTCTTGATCCACCTATATTCACCTCTTGAGTATTGTGATTACAAGCATGTAGCATTCAGTGCTGGCGAATGAAACCAGAGCTTTGGGCATCCTAAGCAAGCACTTTACCAGTTACATCCCTAGCCCTATTTGGGTAGTTCTCATATTTATTTTGGACACTTGTGACTCCACCATTCCCACTACATCATTGTGCCTTCCAGGTTGTTCCGCACAAAAAGTGAACTTCCAGAATATTAACTAATAAATCTGTTGTCTGGAGATTAAACTAGGATTAAACTTTATATATACCATATGTTATACCCTGGAGCTGTCTGTACCCATACCCTCAAATCCTATTTCAGTACTGTATTATATAGCAAGTCCTTCTCTATTACACCAGCCAGCTCCCAAATAAACACAGGGACATATTATTAATTATGAAAGCTTAGCCAATAGCTTAGGCTTGTTTCTCATTAGCTCTTATAACTTAAATTAACCCATTTTTATTCATTTGCATGCTGCCATATGGCTCACGGCTTGTTACCTCATCTATGTGTCATGCTTGCTCCAAGTCTCCTCATAACTCTGCCCTTCTTGCCAGCATCCTCTGTACCCCAAAAATGCTGCCTAGCTATTGGCCATTCAGCTTTTTTATTAAATCCAAGTGACACATCTTCACAGTGTATAATAAAACTATTCCACAATATTTTCCCTTATTTGTTTAAAAAGGAAAGGTTTTTAACTCTAACATAGTAAAACTATATACAATGAGAACAATTATCGGGTATTATCTAAATAGGAGAGGTATTAATTTTAATAGATGAAACTATATACAATAAAAAAAATTATCAAGTAAGAATTACATTTACAATGTCCAGTCCACTTGTATTTGACAAATTTAGAGAAAGTATTTATCTATTCTCTCTTGATGAGTCCAAAGTTTTGTACCTAAATTTTCTTCTATCATGACTAAGGAAAACTATATAGTCTTTAATTCCATCAGAGACCCAAGAAGGACATAATGCCTGAGTAAGCAGGAAGTACAGAGCAAACACCTTCCAAAACTAAAACAACAGAGCCATCTGGCTGCCTGGACAGTAACCCAAGTTTCCTCTATAACCTTTGGCCGGCAGGCCTAGAATATTTGACAGATTTTTCTGTGAAACAGGAGTTTTGAAGGACTGTCCCACCTTGATTTGGCAAAGATCAGCAGTCACTTTCCTGTGTGTCCTGCATATATATTCTCCAGTTGTCATGATCCACCTGCAGTAGCTAACAGCCAAGTTTGGAGTTCATTACAGTTCTCTTGGGAGTGAAGGATGAGATAGAGTCTTGCTCTATCAGCCAAGTTACCCTAAAGTTAGCAAGCAGCCCATGCTTGTCAAGCTTGTGACAGTTCTGTCTCAGCTTCTCAAGTGCTGGGATTGCAGGCATGGACAACCATGCCCAGTTTTTTTGTGTTTTTTTGTTGTTTTTTTTTTGTTTTTTTAGTTTTTCAAGACATGGCTTCTCAGTAGCTATGAAGCCAGTCCTGGAACTTGCTCTGTGGATCAGGCTGACCTAGAACTCACAGAGAGTCACCACTGCCCAGCTAGCTCTTTTTTTGTTGTTGTTGTTTGTTTTTTGTTTTTTGAGACAGAATCTCACCATATTGCCCTGACTGGCCTAGAACTCCCTATGTAGACAATACTAGCCTCCAACTCATACAGATCTGCTTTCCTTTGCCTCCTGAGTGCTGAGATTAAAGATATGTACTGCTATGTTCAGCTTTAATGTTGTTCAAATATCTTTTGGAGGGAAGGGGATATAGTTCAGTAGTAGAATGCTTGCCTGACCTGCATGTGGCCCTCGGTTTGATCAACAGCACCACACACACACACAAACACAAAAAGTTATGCTTTCATAACTATTCTTTGTAGAAAAAAAGTGAGTACAAAAAGAGGTAAATTGATGAAAGGATGAGTGAATAGCTAGTAGTGGGGAATGCCATCCACAATCATAGAGAAATCTTACACTGAAAATGGAAATACTTCTGTAACATCATGTAGTGTAGGGAGAGTAAGAATTCTGATTTTTATTTTTTTCTTTTTAGATCTACACCACAGACTGGCAACACAATCAGAATACATTGCAGAGTCAAGCTACAATAAAACTGACAATAAGCCGCCTTTGGGATTTGTCCTGTGAAATATGCACTGTGGAAACAAACTCTTAGAATTTAATAAGAATGAATGTGTTTGACATCATGTTCTGCTATATTGCAAACCATCTCTAGCAATCCTGGATGTGTCCTATGGGTGCAGACACCGAGATCAGCACTAGCAGGTTTCAGTCTCAGTGATCCAAATTTGTGCATTTCTGATGCTTGGACAACTTTAGGTTTTGTCCTGTAAAGCCATCAGGGCTGTGCCACCCAATGGCTTTTTCTGTGGCTCACATTCTAGCCAGACTAGCAGTGAACTAACACAAGCTCAATAATAAACCCCAAGTGGAAGAGACCTATGCATCTGTGGTTGTGAATTTGCAGTGAAGATTATGTCTTTTTAAGGTATGAGTGCTGTTCAACCCATGTGTTGCTTTTAATGCTGACACTGACACCATAAATCAGCAGACCAGTTTTGTTTGTTTTTCCCATAAGAAGGGTGTTCCTATGTAAGCCAGACTGACCTCAAATTTGTAATCCTACTGCCTTATCTCATAAGTGCTGGGATTGCAAATGTGTACCACCATATTGATTCAATCTGCTGATTGAATTAATAATAAAATTCTAAATGCAGTTAGGTCATAATTATGCCTAAACATGCTATAACCCACAAACAACCACAAACACATAAATTAAAAGTTTAGAATAGGTGGCAATATCCCTTGAAGGTTGGCGAGTGGTCGCTAGAATTAATCAGACTAGGTTTAATATAAAATATTCAGCTTTAATAAGGGTAAGAAAAGGGGGACTTACAAAGCCAGAGTTCCCACGAAGCACAGGAGAAACAAAGAGCAAGCGGGAAGCACAGCCGCAAGATTTATAAGTGAATATTAGCCCGGGGGTACACGCCCTACCAACAAGGTGATTGGCTGGGCTTCCCTTCACTTGAGAGACATTCTTTTTGTTTTTCTTTTTTAAGATTTATTATGTACACAGTGTTCTGTTTGCATGTATGCCTGCAGGCCAGAAGAGGATGCCAGATCTCATTACAGATGGTTGTGAGCCACCATGTGGTTACTGGGAACTGAACTCAAGATCTCGGGAAGAACAGCCAGCGCTCTTAGCCACTGAGTCATCTCTCCAGCCCCAAGAGACGTTCTTTTAGTATCTCAATTTAAATATGGTAACCATTGATAGTCTCTTTTTTTTTCATTGATAGTCTCTTAATTGATGTTACATCACATGATAAAGAAAAAGCAAAGAAAACACAAATGCATTCTTAAGAAAATACAACAGAAACATTCATGTCAATT